TCTACTTTTCAGACCAAATCTAAAAGATGAAACTGTATTGATTAATAGCAAATATTTGTAAACTTTAAATTGCACCTTTTTGCGAAACAGTAAAAAGATGAAGTAACACAAAACTGTAAATAAGCGACTTATGTTCAAAATCGTTTGTGCGCTGTGTTAGTGTGTGTGTTGTGATAAAATGATACAGGCGTACATTTACTTGCAACACATCGTATCACAACACATGGCAATGCATCACAACACAATGCACAATTCAATGCGTTCTAACAATGCACTGCAGCGCATGGTATACACCACAATATGGTGCACACTGTTGCGTGTGTGTGGGGTTGTGTTTTATTTTTTATTATTTATTTTATTTTTTACTATTTGGGGGGCTTTGGGGGAAATATTGGGGTCTAATATTGGGGTTTAGACCCCTGACATTTCCCTTTTGAAATAGAAAAAGAAATTGAGGACACAGAGTCCTCAATCTCTTTTCCTGTAGCCTCTGTTCTAAATGAATGGAAAGCACTTAGTACAGAGGCTCCCTATTCATTCAGAAACTGGTGATAGTAAAACTACTATCATACAGTTATGAATGGGTAGTAGCCTCTGTAGTGAGTGCTACTACCCATTCAGAAAATCATGAATGAACAGGAAGTGATGTAAAGCATCAGAGGATCAGTAAATATCATAGATTTTTACCGATCCTCCGCTCGGCCATGCACACAGCCACTGTCATCCTGAAACTGACAGGATGACAGCAGCTGTGCTCTCTCCTCCCCGCTCACTGCTCTCTTCTGCTGCTCGGCCATACTGATCAGCGCCCCCCTCCTCTGCCCCCACGACGGCCATTTCTGCTCGGATCCCCGCTGCCTCAGCACATAGAGGCGGGGGAGAGCAGCAGGGATCCGAGGAGAAGCATTGAGAGGGCAGAAGAGGTTGCAAAGGTTTAAGGCAGGTTTTTAAAAATTGCTGTAAAGTAAGAAATAAAAGTGTTAATTGATAAAAATAAATACACTATTAACAAAATGGAAAGTAAATTAACAGAATAGAAATCCAAAGCAAATCATTCTAGGTGCATTTGCGCACAGTTTTTAAAGGAATACAACAGGTAGGTTGTTCCAAGCATATTTGAGAACTAACCACAGATCTTCTGTGGATGAAGGCCGCCTGAAATCCTTCTGTCTCTTTATGTAATCCCAGACAGACTCGATGTTGAGTTCAGGGCTCTGTGGGGGCACAAACCATCACTCCCAGGACTCCTTGTTCGTCTTTACGCTGAAGATAGTTCTTAATGACATTGGCTGTATGTTTGGGGCCGTTGTCCTACTTTAGAATAAATTTGGGGTCAATAACACTCCTCCCTGATGATATGGCATGATGGATAAGTATCTGCTTGTATTTCTCCAACATTGATCCTGACCAAATCTCCAACTCTATTTGCAGAAATGCAGCCCCAGACTTGCAAGGAACCTCCACCATGCTTCACTGTTGCCTGCAGACACTCATTGTACCACTCTCCAGCCCTTCAGAGAACAAACTGACTCCTGCTACAGTCAAATATTAAAAATGTTGACTAGTCAGTCCAGAGCACCTGCTGCCATTTTTCTGCACCCCAGTTCCTTTGTTTTTGTGCATAATTGAGTTGCTTAGCCTTGTTTACAAGTCAGAGATATGGATTTTTGGCTGCAATTCTTCCACAGAGGCCACTCCTGGCCAGACTTCTCTGGACAGTAGATCGGTGTACCTGAGTCCCACCAGTTCGCGGCTGATGACACTGCTGGACATCTTTCGATGTCGAAGGGAAGTAAGCATGATGTGTCTTTCATCTGCTGCATTAAGTTTCTTTGGCCGACCACTGCGTCTATGGTCCTCAACATTGGCTATTTCTTTGTGCTTCTTCAAAGGAGCTTGAACAGCACATCTTGAAACCCCAGTCTGCTTTGAAATGTTTGCCTGAAAGACCTTGCTGATGCAGTATTACTACCTTGTGTCTTGTTGCTGTGCTCAGTCTTGCCGTGGTGTATGACCTGTGACATGAAACGGTCTTCCACAACCTCACCTTAAGCTGGCCACATACCTTACAACCATCGCAAGACTTTCGTCTTGCGATGGTTGTAAGGTCATTAAAAAAACATACGATCTGCCCATCTTGAACAGGCAGATCGTACTTGCGATAATCGCAAGCCCGCCTCGCTGAGGGGCGGGCTTCCGATGACCACAATGCTGAACGGGCAATGTTCGCTGGCGCACACTGGCCCGTGCGGCAATTATCTTAGGATCATGCCACAAACCAGCCGAAAATCGTACGATTCTCGGCTGGTTTTCGAACATGTTCGTAAGACCAAAGTCGTGCCACCGTACAGTAGAAACGGTCACACGCCTTCTACACACCTTGCGATTATCGTATGATCGCGGGATTTCCCCCGATTATCGTGCAATAATCGCAAGGTCTGTGGGCACCTTTAGTAGCAGAGTTTGGCTGTTGCTCACCCAGTTTTAAGCCCCCTACACAGCTGTTTCTGTTTCAGTTAAGGACATATGAAAAGGATGATCATTAGCACCTGCTTGGTATTATTGGTTATTCATACACCTGACTCTAATTCTACAAAATCCCTGACTTTGTACAACTGTAAGAATTGATGCTGGTTTGAAGACAAGGAGTAGTGACACCAAATATGTTATATTTATTGATTTTAAACAATAAAAATACTGTATACATTTTTGAAAGCAGTCTTAGAGCATTTTTTCACACCTGCCTAAAACTTTTGTACAGTACTTTATTTTAAAGCTGGAGTTCTGCTTTAAAAAACAGGTGAAGCTGTCTGTTAAAGTACAAACAACTTTTATGCTTCCCATGTTTTCATGTGTTTAGATGTCCCTGGGTTTACTTGCATTTACATCTGTGTAAAACCAGTCTAAACGGTCCCAGCATGCAGAAAATTCTTGTCTGTGTAGATGCAGCCAGACTGAATGCACCTAGGTGCTCCTAAACATCTAGGTGTGAATTCAGCCATATCAAAGCAATACATAAGTTCCAAAAACACCTGGGAGCATGTATTTTAATTTGTGTGTGCATGAGACCTAAGTAGGTGCAGTCTACAAAGCCGTGCCTGTGGAGATGTGATTCATCGCTGACCCAAATTGTGCATCAGTGTTGTGGGCTTTAGTACTTTAGTCAGGCTCCATCTCAAAGATTCTAAAATCTCCATGTGAAGCCTTATATCTAAGAGAGATTATTTTTATGTATGAAGGACATAACATTGGCATATTTGAAAAGGGGTACTATATATAAAACTGACATTTATGAAATGAAAATGCTTTATAACCGTAAATATATGTTACTATTCAGTCTTTGCCCAAGGTGTATGGATAGTCCAGTTTAGCAATGGTGACAGTCCTATACGGGTGATCATTTAATCTCACAAAATACTAGGAAAAGTGTGCCTATTCCAGAACATGCAAAGTTAGGGATATTACAAACAATGTTGAAGTGATTTAGTGGGTAAAATGTGCAGGAGAGGAGTACAGAGGGTTTGGCAGGCTGCAGTATATGCAGAAGAGAAGTGAGGCGGGTATGTCAGCGGGCAGTATGTGCAGAAGAGGAGTGAGGAGGGTATGTCAGCAGGCAGCATGTGCAGGAGAGAAGTGATCATGGTATGACCATGAGCAGTATGTGCTGGGAAGTAGTGCAGAGGGTGCGACTGATGGTAGTATGGACAGTGGAGGAGCGAGAAAGGTATGACAGCAGGTAGTATTTGCAGAAGAGAAGTGTGGAGAATATGACAGTGGACAGTGCATGCAAGGGAAGCGTGTGGAGGGTTTGACAGAAGGTAAAATGTACAGGAGAGAAGTGTGGAGGGTATAATAGCAGGCAGCATGCGCAGGATAGGAGTGTGGATGGCATGACATAGGGCTGTATGTGCAGAAGGGAAATAGAGACGGTAGTATGACAGTGGAGGGTATATGCAGGTGACAAGTGCAGAGGGTATGAAAGCAGACAAGGTGTGCAGTGGTGCACAGGGTATGGCAGTGGGCAGTATGTGCAAGAGAGGAGAAAGATTGTGCAGTGTTTGGTGCAGGCTAGAAATAGAAGTAGGTGGCACAACCGTGTACTAACATTAGGAAAGAGTTCAGTATTGGGAGTTTGGGCAGCATCAAGTTTCTCTCCACAGGGGGTGACATAGTTAGGGAGGGATGCAAGTCACTGCCTCAGGACAGGATGTGAATCAGGAGGGGGTAAGGCGGCCGCAGAGGAATCTGCGTGGGCACACAGGGCGTGAGGTGAATAGGGAAGGATATCTATCATATTAGCAGGGGTGGGGCATGAAGTGGCCATGCAGAAATGTGTGTTGGATGATGTGCCAGGTTGGGATGTGGGTACATCAGTGGGGGGCAGGCGTTTGTGGTTGTGTGAGGCCATGGAGGGATATGTGTCGGGAGGGGGCTGTGTAAGGTGGCCAGAGAGGGAAATGTGAGTCAGTAATGGGGTTGGGGGTGTTAAGGGGCTGTGTGCGGTGGCCAGGGAGGGATATGTCGGGAGGGATAAGTTATCCAGGCGGAGGGGTGGAGGTTGAGGTAAAGAAGTGAATTGCAAAGTAGACAGCTCCGGGTGTTTGCAATTTGGTTTCGCCAACGTCGGTTCGATCTGGTTGAGAGCTCTGGCCTACTGCCTTTTTGACTGACTGTAATGGCAGCTTCACCATAAATGAGCTGCAGGAGACAATAGTGCCAGCCAGAACTCTAAACTAGGCACTACTAGAAGAAAGAGGAACCAATATGCAGTCACAAGCCTTAATAATATGATGGAGGGCAGAAAAAGAATCCTCAACACCAGAGTCTCCCAAAGGAAATGAAGATGGAAGGTACAGTTACATAAAAGTGTACAGCAGAAAGACAAGAAAAAAACTTTGGGTCTTGTTTGACTTTGTTTTTTTCCATTTTTTTGAGTGAGCAGATTTGTTTCTGTTGTTGCTCATTATTTGCATACATCTCTTCCTTTTTTTTTTCCTCAGATGTGGTGGGAAAGAAAGCTGCTTCTGAGGTGAGAACTATATTCAAATTTTATATAAAGTATTCCCTTACAGAATATACAGTTTTGTTGCTAAAAGCTTATAGCATGATTAGTAGTTATAGCTTTTAACTGGGTGTTAGGGCTCATGCGCACAGCAGTAAAATAAAAAGTTTATCAGTACAACATTTTTATGGATCTGAATGCAGTTCTATAATTTTCTATGGGCCCCTGCACACCATGCAGAAAGGTCACTAAAGTGGACTGCATTCAGATCTGTAAAATCAGAATGGTAAAATCTGCATCCGAAGCCAATAATTTACATGTTGGGAATGTAATAGAATAAAAGTGAAATTTTACGAAATGCACTACAGACGTTTACACATCTGTACACATTAACCCAAGCACTTTACAGACCAAATTATGTTTTTTTTGCTCAGGAAACATCAGCCAGCATGCCTCCGTAAATGATCAGTATTTCATTATGCCTGTGTGCATGAGCCCTTATTATCACTGTTGGTATATTGATTAACCCCTTCATGACTAAGGCCTTTTTTTTTTTTTCATTTTTTGCACCCATGTTATATTCCACATTTTTGGCCTGAAAATTATTTAAAACCCACAAACATCATATATTTTCTGAAAGCCAAGACCCTATAGAATAAAATGGTGGCAGTTGCTAATTTTTATGTTGCACCATATTAGCGCAACTCCTTATCAAACCAACATTTTGTGAAAAATGCACTTTAAAATTACCCAAAACACAATAAAATACCAATTTTTTAAAAATAAAGTATAAGAGATGAGGTTACAATGAATATATACCCAACCTGCCCAGGTTAAAAATTGTGTGCGTCCGTGAAATGGCGACAAAATTTAGTACCCCTTAAAGTCCATAGACAACGCTTTAAAAGCCCCAACAGGTCATCAGTTTAGAGATACCCAAAAATACTGGTGCTAGAGTTATTGCTCTCATTCCGGCGTGCGCTGCGATACCCAACATGTGAAGCGCATTCAACGTTTTCATACGTAGGCGCACCCAACACGTGTTTACATGACGACTGTTCTGGATATTAATATACGCTTATGCACATAGAAATCCACTGTGGTAAAAAGCACAGTTCTCAGCTCTTTTGTATAATATGATGGATGCTCAGTAGAAAGTTCTGCCTAGTGCAGGGAGTTCCGTTTATAGGGCACAAAGGGATAACAGCAGGAAAGGATTTTTTGAACACATTTAAATTATATACTGTCTGTATTTGTTACCTCTATGAATAAGCCTTCGGGTGAAACATGTGAGGGTTGTAGTTGGTTGGCGGTGTGCAGTGCTGGCATTTGTTGCTTTATACACTTTTATTCACGGATATACTGGATTTGCTGTTGTGATATTGGGGAGCTCACAGAGCACTCGCACAGCGAGTTTTTTAAAACACAAGTCTTTTTTTATTTGCTCTTGCAGGGCCGCAGAAAATGTTGAACACAAAATATGCGCTTATATCCAGCGCAGATAACAAAACAAAGATGTCTCACCGACTTATACAGTCCCAAACCTGGGGAATCCCTTCCCAGGAATGGTAGTCCTTGAGCAGCTTTCAACTTCACAGCCACACACCTTGTGTGCCTGCCTCTCTCAGGCCCTCTCAGCCTCTCAAAGCCTTCCAGCCCCCCAGGCTGTTCCACCTGCATCCAGCATCACATGCACACAGTCTCCCACTCTGCATGTCCGACTGCACCACTGCCCCTCTCTTCCTCTCTGTTCACTGTCTTTAACAGGGCTGTTACCAGCCACCTGGACAGTCTGGCCTGGCAATTGGCTGCACCTGGCCCCAGGACTAGAGATTTCCTCCCACCCAGAGCTCTAAGAAATTTCCCGGCTCCAGAATCCCAACTATGAACCAGAAAACATGGAAAGGACTGAAAAGCCAGCTCTTTCCTGATACAAGCAATTGCTTCCTGGAGCCCCTCAGCCCCTCTGGCTGAGAATCCTGGGCCACCCTTAGGCCACAGAACACAGTGGCATTGCCACGCAATGCCACACTGTGAATTTCAATAAAGTCTGCAGTATTGGAATTCTCTGGATAGTGTGGTCTGTTCGTATACTGCTACATTCCAAGGTGGAGACGCACCTATTGGACCAGCACCTGGGGAATCCTGATGGTGGCTAAGGAATTGGAGCGGTGAGATTTCCTTTGGCTCTACAACGGGAAAGGATGGCCACAACAGCCAATCAATTCCTCAATACATTTACATAACACTGATGAGACACATGTATACATTTGAATAGACAATAGAAGGGGGAGTATATGCACATGAATGTGCAGCACAATGTGCACAGTCTCCCGCTGCTAGTTCATTTGAACTCTGTGCACACCAGTTAAGAAAACCATGTGCAATGGAGTTCCTGCCAGAAAGCTACACAAAGGAATCAGCGTGTTAACAGTGAACGCTGCTCCGACCAGGCTCGTGCATACACTCCCGCCATTACCACTGGCGCGAATTCTATTCAGCATTGCTCAGTGAACAATGCCTAATAGAACTATATTACGATTCCCATGAATGTGAGGTTATCTGCAGGGAAAACGCCATGTTATTTCCAATGTGTTGATCAGACACACTAAAAAGAGCGTATGTTCCTTCATAAAGGCAGATATGTATCTGAATGATACCGCGTCTTTATAGCAAATACATCCCCGCCAAGCGAATAAATCTGCGCATTACACGGGCCCTCGCCGGCGTTTATACACTTGTGAAGCAGACACCGCTCCGCAATGCACATTAATCCCCCCGGGCAACAGCTCTGCGCATAGCACATGGACCATTTGCCGGACACAGAAACATGACAATATTCACATATGCAATCCATTAAAAACACATCCTAATAAAAACATCCACAATGGTCCAAATAAAATTTCCACATCAAGACGCGTCTGCTCACGGGGGCGGGGTACTTTAAAAATGTTACTTTTATTATTTTTATATTTTAAAAACTATTTATTTTTTATTTTTACTTTAATTGCTATCACATAGGGGGGATAACAAGCCCCCCATGTGAAGGCAGATGGTGGTGACAGGTACACTTTAAGGTGATGCTGGGGGCCCAAAAGACCCCTAGTGTCACCTTTAGACTCTACATAAGCTATTGAAGTGCAGATCACACTTTAATAGCTTATTGCTGGGCTTCAGGAGCCCAACACTGACAGCTATGGGACCGGAAGTGATGCAATCTGCATCGCTCCCGGTCCCATAGAACGGTGAGGGGAGGTTCGCCCGTGTCCTCCCCAGCTTCCCGCTGACACCAAAGAAGCCGGTCCCAGAAGGGGCAACAGAGCCCGGGAAACACGGCGGGGGGGCCCGTTGAAGCTATCTGGCGGCAGCTGAGCCACCAGAATCGATTCTACTGTAAAGCCGACAGTCAGCTTTGCAAGTTTAAACAGAGTCCCGAAAGCAAAAGCTGCTGGGAGTCTGTCTAAACAGCCCCAATGCCAGTGACGTACACTGTATGTCGCTGATCTTGAAGGGGTTAAAGAAGACCAACATTTCTCAAAACCTGAAGATTGGTAGAATAGAAGTATGTGAAAGGATGATATAAATCCTACCCCCCACATTGCCCTAACCCCCAGTGTATTAATCTTAAATCCCAATCCACATAGGGTAGCTGCATGTAGTTAATGGGTGTTTGCAGTATTGTGCGTCAGTGCACTATAACTGTAGTCATTGGTGGCTGTAAGATCACAGCCATAGAGATGACAATTGGAAAGAAAGTCATGATCCGGGGAAGGAGGGCGCATGCGCGGGCCCCGCTAAGATGGCTGCTTAGCGTGTGAGCCTAGCGCCACGCAGCTACGATACCCTGCTTTCGGCTGCCCAACAGGTACCATCAGCGGTGTGAGAGGTCCCCGGGACTCGGCGCCCATCTGACGGAGTGGATGCCTCTCGGGTTGATCTGAAGCTGGGCTCTGTGGCTATGTTCTCGGGAGACGGCAGGTAGCTCCTCCCCCCGCTCATTGACGGCTTGCGCCTGGTTGAGGGCACTCTGTGCTCGATTTGAGCAGGGGGAATAGTGAAATTACCCACTGCTATTAATGTTATCGAGCTGGATGGACTCCATAGCCCTAATCAGGGAAGGAAGTGGGCAATGTTCTGTTACTGGAACCATTTTTTCTGCTGTTATAAAACATTTTTAACCTATCGCTATACATGCTAAAGATGCAGCATATATGAAGAATTATCAGATGCTATGAGCTAATTTCCCTTTAGCTGAATCAAGATGAAGATGTACTATATGAATTAATGGCATCTACTTTTAGCCCATTGTCTTATAGCTGAGCCGTATGTGCCAACTTGGATATATTCACACCCGCAGCTGCACTACAACCCACAGCTGCTGGTGTGTTTTCCCAGACACAGTGCTAACTCCTCAATCGCAATGCATCACACTTTTTAAAATGTTTTTGTTAGAATTTTAATGAAATATCACAAGTGACATTTCATTATGTTCTATAGGCAAAGTGCAGTGTGATGCGGTTGTACCACATTGTGGCTGGCTTCACTGAAATAAGTATAGCATCCATCAGAGTGCCCCCATATGTCACTTGTCCCCATCAGAGTGCCCCCTTACATTAAATACAAAAAAAGGGGGCACTCTGATAGGAACACCAAATATAAGGAGGCACTCTCATGGGGACAAGCAATGTAAGGGGGTATGCTGATATGGCCCCCCAATATAATAATTAGTTATCCCCATCAGAGTGCCCTGCTATTTTTGTATTCAATATAAGGGGTACTCAAATGGCAGCAGATAATGTAAGGGGGCACCCTAATGGGGACAATTAATAAATAATTGCCATATCAGATTGCCCTTTTAAAATGCTGCTGTCACATGTGGATTTTAAGGAGCAGGCAGGCAGTGCTGGGAGTGGATGAGAGACGAGGATGAGAGGAACAAGCAATGCCGAGAAGTTGAGAGATGGTGTTCTGGTATGACAGGTCCCCACCATGGGTGAAGCTGGGAGGTGGGGCAGTATTTAGGCTGC